CAGTGGCAGACCAACATTCTTTAGTTTGAAGGACTGAGGTGGTGGTGGTTGGGTGTGTGTGTGTGTGTGTGGGGGGGGGGGATGGTCAAAGTAGACAAGGATCCAAACTTGAGTCGGGTAAATGGGAGGGGGGAGAAGAAAAGAGCTATGTGTTATTGAAGGCCGTGGCTCGGGACTCAGAAGGGTATTAAGCCCCAAACACCATTTCTTCATCTACTTGTGGAAGATTATACTGGTTATCCCATTAAAGTTGGAAGGATGCCATTCTTCTGTATATAAGCTTGCACACTGGAGGTTAACAAGAGTGGGCTTCTGCTTGCTGACCGGCCGGGATGTAATCTTCCCAAAGTTACAATAATTAATGATAAGCTTCTTTAGCAATACGTTTCAGAAAGAACTTGTCCCAGAATATCGGGCCGGTGGTAGCTGTTTGTTTGCTGGGGTGGGGGGGCGGAGGCCGACGGGGTCTAGGGGCCTACTCCACATGCCCCTCACGTGCGCAGCTTAGGTTTTCGCTCGGTTCCGCGCCGATGAAACAGATGCTGGATTAGCTACACAGAGGCTGGACTTGCAACCGCATGGAGACCGAGATGAGAGACAGAACATGCTAATATAACTGCATGCTAAAACACGGCTTGCTGTGTAATGATCTCAGCGAACCAAAAAGAATCATGGGAAAGGGGGGGGGGGGTGCTGCACTTCAAGAAACTGCTCAACAGGCTGCACAGAGTGTACATTTAATGCTCCCCCTCCCCACCCGCTGCATGCAAATTTACGTTGTTGAATCAAAGGCAAACTGAAGATTAGACTGCTGTAAAACCTGATCAGTATCAAGTGCTGTTTTTAAAGCTCAGAATAAGCTGTTCCGCCTCCCACACAGCAATCGGGCAGAGGGGCGACAGCACAGCGCTCTGGTAGCCACCACCACCATAGACCTGGGGACCCTAAACCGCATGCACTGCTGCTGTGCGTCCGTCCGTAACAAGACACCCAGGAAGAGTCGGCGTTGGGAGATTCAGACAAGTGCATGTGAAACTAAGAGAAGGTGAGACTGACAGCATCTGGGTGGGCCCTGTCCCTTCAGGGGTCTTCAGAGGTCTGGAGAAGCCATGTCAGAGAAGCTTAGCCACCTTTACCGGGCAAATCCCTTCAAATGAAGTGAATTAACACATAAAAAGTAAAGCGTGATCACCGTAATACAGCAAGCATTAGCCAAGACAACTTCCAACACTGCTAATGAGGTCACATTAAATGATGGAACGAGTAGTGCACTTTCCTGCCTATATGTGCTCGCTGGAAGGCTAATACTCAGTGTTCTCATTCAGAGGTACGCAGAGAGAGTCCCTCTGGGGGAGACATACCTTGTCCATAATGTGAGTCCCCCTCCTCCCACCCGGCCCCCCGCGGTTGGTTTCCCACCACCATAAGCATTATTACGGCACCGCAGTAATTAAGGGCGGCCCGAAAGTGAATTCTCAAACTGCAGATTAGAAAATTAAACTATTTACTGATTACATATTAATAAAGGACAACAATAGCAGTTGCCATAGGCTTGGAAGGCGACCAAGGAATAAATCTGTGTACTTAATTACCATAAACAATGGCCGCATAGAAATGGCGTTTTATATGCAATCCCTGCTGTAATATGACTGATATCAGAACACACTTGACAATTCTTGTTCATTTATCTCTATTATTTAATGTGCTGTGAACTGCTCTGTGTAAATAAATTAACCACCCCAATTACTTTGAAAGCACCCAGGGACACAAAATAATAAACAAAACAGGAAAAAAAAAAAAAAAAAGAGGTGCAGAATTCTCTTTCGCGTTTAAGCTGGAGGGGGGAGGTGGGGGTTGGGGCCGTGTGGGGCACCAAAATAGAAGCACTGGTGCACAAAAAAACAGGCAGGAATCAAAGGGTCTCAGACAGATCTGCTTAGATCCAGGTGGGTCTGACTTAGGAACTACAGTCATAAACCAATGAGTCAGCACCGTCCAGCTATCGCAACAGTGCCCACGCAGTATGTCAGACTCATTGGAACAGGAACTTCTAGAGTGCAGAACCTATAAATGCATCTAAAGAATCACAGCGAGCCATGCAGACCAGCACAAAGCAGCTCAGCCCTGCGGGAGAGATGAAGCAGAGGGCTGCTGAAAAAACTACTAACGCTGTGGATCCGCCCTAAGGTTTCCCCCATTTGCACCTTTATTGGTGATTTCGTTCCCCCAGATTTGCCCTCTTACCAAACCAGCGGACACCCCAGCGATGTGTTGTGTGTGTGGACGTGCGTACTGGTTCCTGTGTCCCACCCCGGCCCCCCTGACCCATCTGAGAATACCAGTGAAGGGCGGGAACAGCGCCTCCCACCTGTGTCCATGAGGTACCGCAGCCTCTTCTCCACCCGCGACGCCCGCGTGTCGATCTGCTTCTGCTCGCTCTCCAGGGCCGTCAGCTCGCCCACGACGTACTGGCTGGTGTCTTTGAAGGCCTTCTGCAAGGAGGACCAGAGAGAGGTGGATGAGGGGACTGTCATCACCATCAATGTTAGTTTAAGTGGACAATCGCTTCCAATTAAATATCTTAAATATCTAACTACTAGATACAAGACTGGGACTGGAAGAGCTGGTTACAAATCCATCCACCCATCCATTCATCCATCCATTCATCCATCCATTCATCCTCAGATCCCCTCTCCTGTCGAGGGTCCTGGTGGCTCCGTGATAAGGAGGTCAGGCTCCTTCCAAAAGTTTCTAACTTTTCAAATATTTTTCTTGGTCCCACAGACAGCCTGTGCCCATATCTGGCTTAAATAAAAGTGCAGAGTAGAAGCGAACAGGGCAGGGACACCGGTCTCACCTGACTGCATATCACTCATTCCCCCCCCCTCCCAAACTTTTCAGCAACCATTTTATCTGCAAATACTCATCTCCCATGTTCAGGTGTCAATTAATAATCCCCAGGAAGCCTTCCTGCAAGGCAGCGTTACACAAATTCACTTGCAAATACGTCACGCAAAAAAACATAGCATAACATCTTTTTGCTGACACGTGCAACCCTTTTAAAATGAGAAGAAAAAAATGACTTTTTGGTCCCGCCCCTAACCCAAGTCAGAGCGGCAGCGGACTGGCTGCCCGAGCCGCCCGTCAAACGCGGCCGCCTCCCCGCGGCCCATTGGGCGCCTACCCTCGCGAATCAATTTTACACATGATCAGCCCATTTCCCCTGCCAAGCAGAACCTCCCCGTTAATTAAGTGGAGAAATTACCATATATATTATATTAATGCAAACATGGCTCCGCTGGTAATTCACGGTTGATCTGGATAATGGAAAGGTTTGAACACCCATTAACCCAGGCCAACAAAACAGGCTGACTGAGGGACTTTGAGCCGCTCTCCTGTGACCCCCCCCCACCCTGAAGGCAGCTTCCTGGTATCTGCTATTGTAATAATTAAAATCATCCTGCCACATCAATACAGAAAATTTCTTTGCGGGGAGAGCAGAGAAGGATGTGTGAGAGAGAGCGTGTGTGTTGGGGGGGGGGGTTTACAGAGGAATGGAAAGAGCCCCTGATAGGAATATCTAAAGAGGAAATATGAGTGGCACGCTACAGAAATTCTCTATTAGAAACAAAAGGTACCCCCCCTTGGCCCACACCTTTTTCTCAAATCTGACTGACTATCTGATTATCAGAGCAGCGCAGGCTAATTCACGGCCCCCGGAGGCTAAAGATTAGAATGTCAAACCCCAGAGAGTGCAGGAGGGACACAGCTAATAGGAAGCTAGCGGGAAGCTAGCGGGAAGCTAACGGGAAGCTAGCGGGAAGCTAACGTGATGGGGACGGACTACTTCGTCTTCGGTGGGCCTGCGCTCCAAGTCCATTGTGGGGCCCCTCTCCTCGCTGGGCCTCTTCAAGTCCTCAGGCACCGATTTCTGCTTCTTCACCTCTGGGGGG